AAATGTGTTCAGTATTCTTACTGTATCGCGTACTGGTTGGATTCACAGGAATTGGATCCTTGCTGACATATGGCGCACTGTGTAGAGATGATCTCAGTTGTTGTAATTGCTCATTTGTGCCTGCTTTACCTTGTTGAGAAATAGATGTAACATCGTGATGCTCGGTAAGTATCCTACCCTTTAAAATGCCAAACGTTTGTAACCGTACAAAAATCAATCAGGTGGTCACCGAAACTGTAATAACGTCCTAAACCTCGTTCCTGTGTAAAGAATCAACCCCCTCGACGTCATCGGTGTCGTTTCCACCTCTGGCATTCAAATCATCACCAATACATATGTCTCATTCGTTCTGGTAATTGTATATCTGTCTATGCAAATTGTTAAAAAGAACATCCAGGTCTATATGACCAGGGGATTTTTGCGGGGGTTGTACTTATTACAAAATTTTACCCACGGAATGACTTTCTCCGAATCATCGGTAGTGGTAATGCTGCAATTACCTTTTAATTCCTGTCTGTATAAAATACCCACACCTCCACATTTTCTCCGTGCATTCCGATGTATATTTTGCCTACTATTCCCGATAAATCTATACCCTTTAACTGTTAAACCGTCGTTATTCCTTAGAAATAATTTAGATAACCCAAGGATATCACAACCACTTGTTTTTAAAACAGTTTCCCGAAAAGATTTCTTGTCACCATCCTGGGAAGACCATCCACCAACATTCCAATAACAGACTAGGAGTGACCCCTAGAGCAGATGGCTTTATTGTTTATGCGATTAGAGTCGCGATAATCGAAGCTGTTTTCACGGTATCGACGGCGATGATTCTGATCTTCACGTGAATGTTCTCTTGAATCAAACCGACGCTTGTGAAATGACCGATGAGTACGAAGGCCTATTTGTGTCACTTTGAAAAGCGGAAAAAAACCCTTTTTTTCTCATTAAAAAACGTCAATTATCTGGTTATAACGCGTTAGTTATCTCGTTAAAACGCGATAGTTATCTCGTTAAAACGCGTTAATTATCTCGTTAAAACGCGCTAGTTATTTCGTTAAAACGCGATAGTTATCTCGTTAAAACGCGTTAATTATCTCGTTAAAACGCGCTAGTTATTTCGTTAAAACGCGATAGTTATCTCGTTAAAACGCGTTACTTATCTTGTTAAAACGCGTTAATTATCTCGTTAAAACGCGATAGTTATCTCGTTCAAACGCATTAGTTATCTCGTTAAAACGCGTTAATTATTTTTGGTCCTGTCTTTAGGCTAGAAACTAGCTATTACATTTGAGAAGCAAACATATCAATTAACAAGTTAATTTCTCCATCTTCTGACTCCCTTCATCCGATAGCTTCTTCACGAAAGAAATAAGCGAATTCATTCCGAAGCCTGACCGTAAACGTCACATCTCTCAGATAGGTAACTGTATGAATAACGCATTTTATCGCGTTTTAACGAGATAACTAACGCGTTATAACGAGATAACTAACGCGTTATAACGAGATAATTAACGCGTTTTAACGAGAAAAAAGTGTTGTTTTGTTTTTCAAAGTGACACTAATAGGCTTTCGTAGATGAGAGTGTGGAGTCACAAGAAAAAAACTACAGGTAGACTAGAAGTGCATTAGGGCCCACATAGGTAATGTGGAAAAAATCCCTGATATGTAATGGGTACAGCTCATCACCGGCCTCCTGGTGTTCCAACCCAGAGTCAAAACAACCTCAAGGCTATCTGCGATTTTACCTGTACAGTTGTAGACAAATACATTTTTTGTGCCTTATATTACAGTACCACCAGTTTGGTACCTACGAAAGCCTAGAAAGGTCCAATTTCGAAGGCAAAAAATATATAATCGCATTTTTAGGCGAATAAAAGCGTAATAACGCTTTTTCAAAGTCGTAATAACGCCTTCCAAAGGACGTAATAGCGCTTTTTCAAAAGTCGTAATAACGCCTTTCAAAAGTCGTTATAACGCCTTTCATAGGCTTTCTTAAAGGACTGAACAGAAGCAATGACAATGGCATTCTTACCTGTAAAAGTCACTATAACGACTTGTTTTCGCGTTTATACGACTTTTGAAAAGCGTTATTACGACTTTATTCGCGTAATTACGACTTTTCTAGGCTTTCGTACCAGGCTTTCGTAGATACCATATCATTACATATATTGAATAAATATATAAGAAAAATAATGATTAAAGAATGGGACATAAAACTTTTAAATTCTAAATATCTCATTCAAAACATGTGGTAACTGCTGTTTATAGCTTAAAGTGTATGCATTTTTATCCTTTTACTAAAGGAATAAAAATATCATATATTACGTAAAATGAGACTTAAATATACATGTAACATGCTGTACTGTGGTCTTGTATTAATATTTACAAATAATGTTTTCTTGACAACGGCAAAACAGACAATTATTTGATATTTAGATTTGTGTTTGATTTACTTCAGAGATATTGTTTTAGATCAATGCTAAATAACTTGCTTTAAAAATTCCGTTGGTGCTAGGATCCAGAGTTAGGTCAGGGGTTGTGATTGTCCCCACCTCTTTCCCTCCCCAATCTCTTAAATAATTCATTGTATTAATCGCACTCTTACCATCATGCACACGATGTCATCATTCATAATGCTGGTATGATGTTTCTGGAGGAAAACAAGAAAAGAAATTGTGGCAATAAATCTTTCCTACGTTTATTTGCTGATGTTAGATACTTAACTAAATTATTAAGTTTTTTTATATTTTCGACTTTAAGTAACTGAATTAATTCAAACACTAGGCTTATTGAAATAATATACCTTAATACAATTGGTACGAAAATCTGCATAACACTTACATTTAATTATAAAATAAATTATTGACGACAAAATCGTTTTATCTGGTTAGAAATTTTCGCTAGAACAACGTTATCAAGAAGTAAGACACATAGTAACAAATGTAATTTTCTGTATCAGAAGCGAAAAAAAATTGTGAAAATTAGGATCGTGGCTCTTATACATTTGGTGATAAAATGGACAAAATCCAAGATGTCCGCCTGTGGGCAATATTGTTTTTCTGATCAGTACCAAATCAAACATGCAAAGTAGTGATCAAGAAAAGCATACACATGAAATTTGAGAAAAATCTATGCTGCAGGTCTAAAGGTATAGCGATAACAACTTTTCAAATTTAAAATCTAAGATGTCCGTCTGTCGGCCATTTTGTTTTCCTGATCAGACCCAAAATCTAATGGGTACAACTAGGGTCTAAGAGGCACTGAAATCTAAGAAAGATACATCGAGTACTTCTCAAGAAGTAGCAATGACAAACTTTCAAAGTCAAAATCCAAGACGGACGACGGACGATGAACTACGGACGTAGTACGATTTGAATAGCCCATCATCATCAGATACAACACTGTTACAAAAATGTTTACTTCAAAACTATCATTTCAGCAGAGTAAAATGTAGACCGTTTAATTATAATTATATGTATATAACAATGAGACTATGTTACGATGTTGTTTTTAATATACATATTTAAGTGTAGTTAAAAACGTATTTTTCGATTTTAATCTTATTCGCGTCAATAAATGTCTTGCTCTGAAATCGGAAATGAAGCGTATTTTGACCTTGTTTTATTGTAAAAGACAAACCAATACAATATGTAACGTGCTCTTGTATGTGTAATCTCAGGCTAACACAAAGACAAATGAAATCCCATGTTCCGTCTTTTTAAATTGTAGGATTAAACTCTTATTTATAAGTTACTCCTTACTAGAAAAAGGTGATTATCTTTCATTTGTGGACTCATTGTACTCTAATCCTCAAATCTGTTGAACTTTCGTTAAAGTATCATTACCCATTTTTTTGTTTTTTCTTGATGACACATTTCTCATCTTGCTTGATGTTTTCGTCCAGTGATGAGTAACGGAAACTGATTTTACAGGTTTTAAGTAAATCTGCTTGGTTGAGATATGAAAGTTCCATCGAGTAATGAATTGACAAATCATAATGCCCGGTACAAAAAACACAAAACCGGAAACGTTGAACGTGTGACATCACCTTCAATTCCATGGTAAACGTTCAATTCCATGAAAGTCGGCCAAATCCTATCCCAAACCAAACGTGTTGAATGTGTAGCTAACATAATAGACATTTCAAGGGTATTTGTGTCATCAACAGCGACAACTGAAGGTTACCGCCATATTTTCAGCCGCGTAATAACTTGTCATAGGTTAAACTCACTTTAAACGTTTTACAGCAAATTTTGTCTCTTAGTAATATGAGTAATATAATTAACATTTTCTATATGAATATGAAAAGAGATTCACATTGAAATTTATTTTTGTGTTTATATATTTTTTAATGTTTTTAGCGGGCTATATTTTGTTCGTACTGCAAAGTTATAGAAAACTTAATTGTGTCTTCAGTTATAATAAATATGTTTCACTTGTATGTTTGATATATTTGTATCTTTCACTCGTGCTGCGCTTTCGTGAAAGATACTAAAATATTAGACAAACTTGTGAAATATATTTGTTATTATAAAGTATCAGAAGCATATTGTGGTGATAATTACATGTACTCCTTGATCTGCGGGTGCACCAGAAAACTTTACATTAAATAAACAAAAGCAAAGCAAGATTAAGAATGCCAGTCAAAACATTACGGAATATACGATATATTACTTTACTTCAAAACTTCAAAACATTCAAGAAAACGTAAAAGATTGCAGGCCATCAGTCACAATGTATTCAATAAAAGACACATCATTTACGAAATAAAAACTATACTGATTGAAAATCGTTAACGTTTTACAGTATTAAACACAAATAAAGTAAATTATCAGAAGATACTTTCTCACTGTGCAGCGCAGGGTTCGTCCCTGATTCTGTTAAAAGATCAGTCTCGCTCACAGTAAATCAAGTTAGAACTACCTACCTTGGACATACTACTTCGTCATTTATAGGGAAAATATACACAGAGAAATACCAATAGGTCAAAACTGAAATTACAATACGATGTTATACAATGTCATGTACACAGCAACGCCGATCCCCGAAACCATCGAGTATGTCCCAAAAACAATCATTACTACACATAATGCGAGTGTTAATTTCCTTTTGATTTTATCTACCAGTAATGTTGGTTCTTTCTCTCCATACAGCGTCAACATTGATACGATATAAGGAACAACAAACGTTGTAGACAATATTCCAATACATCCCGTCAAAGACATCAGTAATTCAAACTCTGGCACCAAAATTGTAAAAACACCTGCAAATTAAAGCAAAGAAGCATATTTTTGCCATTTTCTTTTGAAAAATCATATAAGAAAAGAGCTAGACGCAAATGATAACCATATCTTATATTATCCCTTCAGCATTTCAATAAATTATTACATACGATTATATGCACCAAAGCTTTGTCTATCTTGACATTTTCAGGGAAGTTTAGATAAGGCGACTTATTCATGTGATGTTAATACACAGATAAAACAGAAAATAAAAACATTAGTAATTACTTTTACTTAAATACAGATGAACGTATTTATATCGAAGATAGCGTAACATTCCAATATTCGATTTATGTGAATTCGAATGTTTGGTTTGAAGGTTCGCCGTGACAAGCGAATTACTTTGAATTAAATGGGTCTTCGAATTACAACAAGGTTTGACTGTACAAATTACTCATAGTGATTTCATCTCTCCTTTTCTTGTGTTAAAAGCGCTTGTTTCTATCTACAGATCTACTTACATGAGAGAACCAATAGACCAACGCGACAGATGTATTCACCATAGCTCTTTATGATTTCCGCCTTCAATCTTTCCTTTAGCGGTGTCCATAGGATTTCTACTACTAAAAACACGGTCATCCCGTTTGTGCAGTATAAAGTAAAGAAAGACAAAATCTTCATTGTCTTGTACCCCCTGGAGAAAAGTGTGATAACACAAAATTATAAGCAGAACCATTATTCCTATTGTCCATATCAAACAAACGGATAAAAACTGATTTCCTGCATCTGACTTAAGCTTCATACTTTAATAATTCGCTCCATACGATACACTTTGCTGCTTTAAATACATAAAATGATTCAAATTAAATTTCTTAATGAAACAAATGAAATAAACAAATACTACACATGCTATATAATACTCGTTGATTCTAGAGTAATTTAGAGTGTTGTTGAAAGTGTTTGCAATATACAGCGCTCATTTAATTTGAAAGTATAGTAAATAATAAATTCTTAATTCAAAGAACACTTCTTTTATTTGATGTCCGTATGTATTTCCGACAAAAGAAAAAATGACTTTTTAAAAATTAACAAACAAATATGAAATCAACATGACTTCTATACAATTTTAATCTCGAGAATAAAAACAAATGAGATATTTCCTGAAGAATATATTTTTCATTCTTTGATAAACGACGATTATGGAAGTGTTGTTACATTTCACGAAAAATATTTATTTAGTAATGGTGATGGAGCTGTTTGATGAACCAATTGCTAAGCATTTTATTGGTAAAAGGAATAAGTTATTATTATTCTTAGAAATATTAAACTGAACGTCCAATATTGACAATTCTTGTCTTGAACGTGTTACACATGTATTTACCATTCATCCCCTGGAAGATTCAATAGGTAGTTAACTTGGGTTATTTCTCCGAATTTCAAATACCCGAAAAATCCACAGCAAACGTGGAAACAGGTCACAATCATCAGTACAAGTCCAAGAACACCATTCCACCCGTCAAAATTCTTCTTATTCTTAATTCTATCCCGTATTGGCATGACCTACAACAAGATCACTTCGTTTAGCTATTCGCAACAATTGTTGTCACAGGCGTCAACCCGATATTTGTTATAAGACAGATAATTCACGGTAGAATATGCTATAGCATATAATTTCAACTTTGATTTTTTTTAATTTTCTCTCGAGAATTTTAATATAATCGTATGTTAAATAAAAAAAAATTATGTCGTAAGAAAATCATACTTAGATTTATTCAGATTTTTTTGTAATGATTGAAAAGGAATAACGACAAATACAATATCAATTGCTACATTTAATGACAGGTTATTCCTTTTGAAAGGACGGATCCTTGTATTATCGGGTATATATCAGGAAAACAAAGTGAAAATTTACCATCATGATTCCACCGTATGAAAACATTGCATCGTTTGTAAACGACGTGACTGTTATGTAATCGACAAGTTTTGTAGCTGGTCGTGTGCTGGCATTTGGAAGGTCCTGACAAATGTACTGGAATGATATTATAAATAACGCCAGAAGAACAATGTTCGCTGTTGTCGCTAAAACGGAAAGTAGCTGCAATCGTCGTGTCAAGTAGATAGGCAAAAGTAGCACCGAAATTACGATGATAGATACTGTGTCACTGATGTCGACGTATTGGAGAATAATCTGCAGCAAGGACAAATCATATCGGTAGACAGTATGGAAGCCGACTATCAGTGATTTCAAAAGTAAATGCATTTATAACAAATACGTTAATTGCTTAATATAATACAATCATTTTCTGCCTAATTAATGATATTGAAAACCAAGACATTATAATTCGATTCAATGCTGTGTCACAATACAGCATATTTTTTGGAGATCCATGACATATCCTGTATCCTCTGTGACCTTTAACCTTATGACTGATGACCGTCAAAACTTTATCAGGTATATAACTATTTCTCTGCCAAGTGTTTTTTTTTTATTTTAAATATGATCAAGATTAACCTGTGATATTTTTCCTTGACCAATAGACCATCCAATTCAATTCAGGTGTATAACTTGATGGTTCAACGTTCCGGCGTGGATATGAACCAAATTGTTTGGGTGTTCTTGTCAAATCTTGTACATAAGCTTTTAAAATTTCAAACGATGTCATCTTGACCTTGACTTATGACCACTTTTGTGAATACAAAATAGGGGTTCGTAAACTATCTCAAACAAAAGTGCACGAATGAGCAAATTTTATTATAGTTTATAGCAAATGAAAACATTTTACTTACATCTTGTCCAAAGGTATTCATAAGTGAAATCAAATCCGGCATAATTAAACCATAAGTCATTACTGTACAGAGGTCAATATAAAATCTGAAACAAAATTTAAAACAAAAACATCGTTGGCACTCCAAAAATAACTATTAACAGCTACAATGTTATTTACCTATGAAGGATCTAGCGGAACTTTTATATGGTATTTTCAAAGCAGATATAAGTGCAGGACTTGTTTTTTACTTTAAGACAGAAAAACATGAAATGATAATATACGAATGCATAAAATTAGTTCAAAGATTTACATTTGCTGTATGTAATTTAGGTTCTTTATTATGTTTGTTCTTATGTCTGCTTCTGTTTAGGAGTGTTACGTCCATTTTGTTTCGCAGGCTCACTCAAAATATTGTTCTAAAGGAAAATTGTTTCATGTCTTACCGTAATTTCCTTGCATGAGGTTGTAACCAAGGAGGCCCAAGCTTCAAACTCATTTCCACAACTCTCCCCATGTCTCCAAACCTATCCCCACTTCTGTGGAAAAATTGTATTACCTGATATCTTATAAACGACAAGCAAATACAATTCGAACCAAATGTAATATAATATTACGGAACTGAAAACTGATACATTAAATCTTTAAACTGTTAGTGTATTGCATAATATTAGCAAGCGAAATATTTATACAAAAGACCATAATATAATTATATGAAAAAGATCAACTGCTCAATTTGCGTTTTGTAAACTTAATTCTCTCCGTTTATAATGTCAAAATACAGAGAAGTTAAATTTCCAGTTGTATTATGAAGGTAGCATAACAAATTCTTGATGGTCTTTATCAACCTGCATTTCTGTCGACAGTCAATACTTTCAGAAATCGTTATATTTGAAACAGATAGGTTACCATCTAATTAATAGTAAGGTAGCAAAAGACCTCTTACAGGAACAATAGAATTTTGCCCACGAACCAATTTAAACCAAACTGAGTTCGATTTGTAGCACCTTGAGAGAAAAACCGGTGATTTTAATGATAAAACTTTAGTATCAAGATTTACCTCCTAAAAAGAAACCGTTTAATAGAAAAAAGGACATTACGCATTCATCTGCAGAACTAAGTGTTAGAACAAAAAGAAAAGCGGCTTTAATCAAGGGCTAATACATAATCTTGACATCCATGTATAGCATTGAAAACCTCTCCCTGTGTAGTCCCATAACAGTTCTATAACATTTTGCAACATGATAATGTTTTCAGTTGCCTTGTCTGTTGAGTGATAAAGGTTCCTATGTTCACATGTATACTCTCTAAGAGATCATAATCCAAAATTAGCGTATATTCTCTTACATAATTTGTCAATATGGATGAGTATCATACCAGACTGCAAGATCAGATTTAGGGATTTAAAAAAAAGATATAAAAAATGCAAGAAACTTTGATTCCTCACAAAACGCTTGGTTGAAGCACTTGCTTATCAATCAGGGTCTGCCGGTAGAAGAATAATGCAAGAATATATGCATGGACTACTATAAAAAGTATGTGAAGAAAAGACTACACTCAGATATATCTGGTGGACTTCAGCAAAAAACCCAAGATCTTTATATGTCAGAGTTAAGTGATGAATCCAATGATCTCGTTTTCTCTTCGTCCCTGCCTCTTTTGACTATCAAAGATCTAAAGTATGCATCCTCCTAGCCTAGGAAATGTTCTATGTGCCTGCAATACAATGACGAAAGCGTTACCATACCAATTCAAATACGGCATTTTCTTCTATTGCATTAAGACTTCGGTGTCCACCCGATGTACGGATTTGTCCTGTACACATGATAGGTAGTTTTTTGCACCCAGACACAGAAGTGTGCACTGATGATAGAACCCTCTTCAAGAGAAACTTCAAACCGATATATGTGCTGAAGTTATCACTGACCATCTTGAGATAATACATGAACTTTCTAATAAAAGAGGTTCTCCTATACTGAAAATGGAAACATTGCCCAATTCCGATTTCCTTGCTTGGACAGGTTGGACTTCAGATCAATTTTTTTTTTAAATGCAAGAAAAATGCAAAACAGGCATTATTTCAGCATTCACTGGTGATATTTGTTCCACATACTCGCTTCTGTTCTTTTTTGGCAAAGTTAAAACTGGTCTGTCATGGAATCAGTTGTCAGTTCTGACCAAATTATCCACAGCATCATTTTCTATATATTTTCATAAAATTACTGAGCACAACACTTGTTCCCCAGTACCTTTGGATTACCCATATGACACGCCAAGATGCACTGTCACACAACACTGTATTTACCAACACGTGGTTTTGGTAACAAAGTCAGTCTAATGCTTGACGGAACATATATACCACAACAAAAGTTCGCATCATGCTTTCCAAAGGTCATCCTACTGCGAGTGAAAAAAAGACCAATTATTGGAAGTTAATGTCCATCGTCTTGCCAGATTATGGGAGTATCAATGATGCGTCCATTACAAAACTTATCATCGAGAACTTTGACATTCTCAAGTCTTGACTTGATGAAAATGACAATGTCATTGTCGATCGTGACTTTAGGAATGTTCTTAACGTTCTGGCCAGTTTGGTGTACGATTAAAAAATGTCATCGTTCCTTCCTGTAGGGAAATCACAAGTAGATTTATTACAATCAAATGAAGATCGCCAATGTACCTCGCTGGGTTGTGGAATCATACAACGGACGCATGAAGAAATGGATTTTCTTCAGAGAAAAATTACCATCCAATGTTATGATTCAATTTATTGGCAAACTTGTGCGGATTGTAACGGCGAGTCTGAATGCATTTAGAGGTTCAATCCACAGCCAAGATCCACTCCGAGAACAACGTGAAATCCAGATGGCACGGCGTATGGTTAGAATGTAAGGCAAGGACAATAAATTGTCCAATCGTTTTGCAACGGATCCTAACATGACACGCAAGGCTAAGAGCGAGTGACGAAAGCTATAAGCCTCCCAGATCATCTTTCTTCAGTCACATTTGGAATATCTGGAGACTTTGGTTTGCGAACATACCAGCTGAAGCTTGCATCCTGGTATATCGCTGAACATCAGACAGATGGTGATGATTACGAGATCTGGGTGTACCAGCATGCTGATGATATCCTCAGCGGTCAAATACGATCCCACCGCAGGTATCAAACCAAGTATGATTTATTCCACATGGATCAGAGGATCCAGTCCAGGAATATTACATTGTATGCCCTGTAGGAAAGAGAACGATGGGCATGTGTGCTCATGTAGCATCCATTCTTTATTATCTTGGATACTACGTATATTTGGCAAATGCCAAAGAGCTACTACCTTCTGCCAGAAAATTAAAAAAACTGCTTATTGTGAGCATGATTGAAAAAAAATGATACGCACATTATGATTAGTAGCTTTCAGTTTTCTTTCAGGAAGACTGAAAAGTCACCAATTAGAGAAACTATAGTAAATTACAAATAAGTATATTCCAGTAACTGTCTAACTGCACTTTGGTACAATTTTGAATCGTATTTAACAACATACTATGAAATTTTATTGGTTCAAATAAAAGAAATCAAGAGTTGAAAGCTTTCACACAGTGTACATTCCTTATTCTTAGGTTCATATTCAAACACCATAGACATTAGTTATCACTTCAATTGACTTAGTTCACTAATTATCAATTTCCTCCACAAGGCAAGAGTTGGTTCTTCGAAAATTATCTGTATCCATTAAAAGCTCTGTTGTGTACAAGAAACAGAATTTGGTTTATTTCAAAACATCACAAGAAATTAGAAGGTTTTACAATCTCGAATCATGTTATTAACACAACGAAATTCATTGAAGATGTTTCTGCTGACATAATAGAAGTAATAGATAATACATCAAAAAAGAATAATTGATTGGAAAGCAAATAGAAACACAGACCTTTTGGCATTTTTGAAAATAGACCACGATGCCTTTTGACCATAAAATGACAATTTTACCGGTTCTCAATTTTCTGAAATTTTCACCATATGTAGACAGTATAATGACCCAAATGTTTTGTAAAACTTTTTGGTGTGCTTGAACTGGAAGTACGTGCTTCACTTTCGCAAATGTTGTTATACCTTTAAAAATGCTAACAAAATGATATTTTTTTTAAGTTCAAGATCGCATAACTTTTTTATCTTTCAGTATTTTGACATCGCAATGTACAGATTAACATGCTCATTACAATACAGTATCAATTAATGATTTTATCTATTTAAGGTTTTTGGACCAAAACTGACCCTTGATGTACACCTGTGGTACACTACATTAAATGAGTTATAGCACCGGCTCCTGGATCCTTTTGGAGTTTAAAAAATATTTCCTGGTTTGTTTCTCAATGTGCTACAAATAGCATCCAGTTTGGTTAAATTGGTTCGTGGGCAAAATGATATTGTTCCTGTAAGTGGTCGTTTGCTACCTTACTATTGATTAGATGGTAACCTACCTGTTTCAAACATAACGATTTCTGAAAGTATTGACTGTCGACAGAAATGCAGGTTGATAAAGACCATCAAGAATTTGTCATGCTACCTTCATAATGCAACTGGTTTAAATTGGTTCGTGGGCAAAATTCTATTGTTCCTGTAAGAGGTCCTTTAGCAAATTAATTACATTAAGTTGTGGATGTCAAAGCATACATCTACATGGCAAAAAATAATGTCTTGTATTATAAAAATAGTACTACCTTTCCGTAAGACGCTGTGTACTTCCTGTTAAAACTAAAATTCCCAATTCGTTCAAAAATCCATAAAAGAGCAGTCCAAAACTCCCACTCTGAATGATACAGAAATATTCGTGTAAACGAATGAAAATGAAAATGTGAAAGACTGGCTTCAAAAATTTTCAGTTTTGTTTCTTTCCAACAAAAAGACATTGGCAAGGTACATGCAATTGTAATTGCGTTTGAGAAATGTTACTGACAAACTTGTTGAACTATGTGCCTGATATGAAGTTATAGAATCGTGATTCTTCTTGGATTGTTTAAACTTTTTAAAAATATCAAATCATGATATATTTACATATCTTTTTTATTTTGGGGAAATATTTAGAAATGAATGATGAAGAACTTATTATCGAGATTAGATATGGTGATATGGAATGTTCCGTTATAGATAGAGGAAAAAAACAATATTGTATTTTGTTTGATTGTTAAAGAATTAAACAGTTTGATATCCATCGATCAATATCGCGCGTCATCCTGTTGTCGTATAAGCTACACGATGAACATAATTATAGATTAATTTAACCACCTACAAATATATTCAATTCTTTTTATAGACATATCAATATATATCGAATATCAAATTCAAATGACTTTTGCGATAACTGATATTGCTATGTTTTTTGTGTGTGTAAATTTAGTAAACGAATGGCTCTATTAGCAAACCATTTGATTCTCCGTTAACATTTTTCAAGCTGTTGCCATAAATTTATTCAAATGGTGTACATTCATGTAAATACAAGTGAAATAGATCCGTGTTCCATAGTATATATCGATATTCATGTCAACACTAAATCATATCCTCACTTTCTAGAAACAAAAAATATATTCACTAAAGCAGAAATGGTTTTGATAATGTCTTTAAACATGACCAAATTGATAAATTCGTATTTGCCATCAAGATTCCAATGAGGCACATGAGTGTTTCCTAATTTTCAAAATATCTTTTTCACATTTGGCAAGAATGACTGAATTCACAGTGGGAAAATAATTATTCCGTTTCATTCTGTTATCGACAGGATGATACCAACGGGTTATTCGTTTGTAAATTGTCTTCAAAGGAATTTTTCCAGGAACACCAAACTTCTGCACAGTATTAACAGTTTCAAATGTACAAACACAAACAATACTTTATCATTTTGGTCGACAGTTAACATATGTTAATCTCAAAGAAAAGCAATTCAAAACATGGAAATAACAATATTACGTGTTGTTTCAGTGTACAGTATACTAACCCAGAGCCCTAGAAGTTTTACAATGTAAGGAAGGCCAAGGAACCCCATGCCAATATACGTCGGTAGGAGGAGCATAAATCCCTGAAATTCCCTGTAAGTAAAAGGACAAAGATATTTTGTAGTTAATAATATAACTAATACCAATTAAGATTATAATATCATACCGGTATTTTCTTTGATGTTTTCATAGAGCAAAACGTATTCGTTGTGAAAAAATAACTGTGTTTTTGTGGGTGCTGATGGGTAGGTTTATGTGATTTCTGTACTACCTCCATTTTGCTTGTCGTGTGCGAAAGAGCAATTTGATGATAAGATTTTTTTTTTTTGTAAAAAAAATTGTATAAATAATGTTTTATCTATATATCATCCGCAGTAGTTAAGCTACTTCATATTTGTTCTCAACGGAAACGTAGCGATTTGTACCATTCCGTGGCCTCACAGTGAAAAGTTTATTTTAATGTGATTTCTACAGGTCACAACCATATACCATCAAGGTTTCGCGGGAATCTAATTTCCGATATCTTCCCTGATAGCATAAAAATCACTAAAAACTGATTCCAGGATTTGCATTTGATACCATTTAACGACCCCGATAAAGATAGATCCAGTTTACTTTATGGTAAAATAGCGAAAATATTAGCCATAAAAACTTTAATAGCTCTTTATCGACCAAAACATGAGCGTGAGCTGGTAGAACATTTGGGGGTCAATGTGCTGGGTAGAAAATGATTTCTTATTGTTTCAATTCTTACAACCCCAGTGAAGGAGTACAGTCACCTAATTCAATTTTTAAAACGTAGTTTACAGTCACCTAATTCAATTTTTTAAAACGTAGTTTACAGTCACCTAATTTAATAAAAAGAAGTAGTTTTGAGTCGCCTAATTTGATATATCTAGTATAGTTTCATATCAAATTATTTTAACAATTAACGATAATACTTCCATGGACGAATTAATGAAATACTTAACAACAGTGATTACCAACAAATGAATTCCAATTTATACCCGACATATTGATGACACCACTGACCCCAGAGGTCTTAGTAGGGATGGGAATTCTGCCGAGTATTGATTATCATCTCCACTTACATAGAATCATTACAACCAAAATTTACATGATCAAGAATGGTACAAAAAGCAAACAAGTGAATTGTACCTTTCCATAAAAAACAAAATAATAAATACACAACCTTATATATTCGGATGTATATGAAAATATTCTTTGATGTGAAATATTTTATCAAATACATTATCGAGGTCTATGGTCTAACTTAGTATATGATTCTTAATCAATACGTTCACTTACGTTAAAGTGTCATCATCTTTCGTCTGATGCCTCGTGCTGATACATTTCTCATCTTCTTGGTTGACGTTTTCGTCCAATGACGAGTAACGGAAACTATTTTGGCAGGTTTCGTGTAGATCTTTTTTGTTGAGCGATGAAAGCTCCATCTGCTGTGCTGTCATTGAATGCCCTTTGCACAGTGACACCTCTATCAGTCATACCGTATCTGCATTTAATGGTGAAGTAGCCTTGATGTTTGCAACCTGTTGATATACCTGATATGATATGCAGTCGACGTCAGTCCCAGGATTCCGGTTTCGGGTTTTATTTATGTTACAAAATGTCAACATTGATAGTAATTTTTCACATGGCGGACAAGTAGCATGAAACAATAAAATATATCTATATGTTTTTATGTTTTTCCAAATATTTGCTTGTATTAGATAAAACTTTCACGTTAGAAATTGAGAATAATCCATGATTTTACTAAGACTAGGATTCACTCAAGACTTATATATCTCTTCACGGCCCACTAACGTGGTCTTACGCTTGTTTGCGATATACTTTTTGCTATCTCAAAAGTGTAAATTCCATTAAATTTTGTTGTTCCTTGATTGGGTAATATTAGAAATTATCATATTGAAAAATTGAAATGATTATACAATTAATTTTCAATACATCGCTTTCCTTTATACAGATAGCTGTGTTTTCCATTAGTGTTTATCATATATATATAATCTAATAGAATCTATTAAGTGATATCGACGGAATGGTCCAATATTAGTATTGGATCCTAACAAACAAATGTTCATTGGATGTGTATTACTGGAATAGATATATGATCAATGAAGTAATAGGAACAGAACAGACAAGCGCATTGTCAAATTTTCGAGGTAACCTGCCTCTTTATTAAACACAAATATTACATAAATTACACCACATACATAGAACATAAAACAAATACAAAGTTATAAATCTAAATCGAGAGTGGTGGTGTAAACTTAGGTGTCTCGTTAATCCCTTCGGGCAAAAAATAATCCCACGTTGTTGTATGAAAGATGGTTAAAATATCAAAAATGTTTTCCATAAATCTGTATGTTTTGCACTCTATACACTGAGCGTACATATGATCGCAACAATTGCACGTCACACTCCGAGGAAGGTACCGACATATCGGCCACATTCTAAATGAAGAATTGTTTGATTAAAAATAAGAACAAGAGGCCCATAGGGCCTGTATCGCTCATCTGGATCTTTATGACCAACAGTACTATATATGTGCATATGCTCCACAATAGATGCTTAAAGCAATATAACAAATTACTCCATATGGGTTCTGTCCCTTAGTAGTAAGCCCCCTCATCTATGCAGTGTTGAATTGAGACTTTCTTATGATGTTTCCAGTTAAATATAATTGATAGCTTTCTTTTAAATCAAGGAAAGAAGATGGTCAAACAATATAGCAGAAAAAAAACTGTTATAGTTATAGCTGGACGGATGACCCAGGACAGCAGAAGCTTACTTGTCCTTTATATCATTGTTTAAAAACACAGATACAACATATTTGAGACTTGCACATGTCAACAATATATAGCAACAATTAAATATAAATACAGGAAAAATTAAGGTTCATGTAATCATAAACCATAATCCTAATTCAAAACCTATAATAAAACGTTTCATGCATATCATTAGTGATGTCACCATGGTCAGTTAAGCCCTAGTTACTGGAGATATACTGATAACAGTTTACTGTAGGTCTATAAAGACTGCATAGAAAATAGGATCAACTTAGAATTTCTTATCTATTTATGCTATAATTATGAAGAATCTTAAATCAAAATGAAGCTCTTGCATTTCTCTTTCCGGTCATGTTTTCTGTATTTTAATGCGTGAATAAAATTGGCTAACATGTAGTTTTTCACATTACTTAGCTCAAGCCTTTCAGACCTCCCGGAGGCTTGGCCTAATCTATTTTTTGGAACAGTGTGACATCACTGTGAAAGGTCTTTATAATTTATTCCAAATTATGCCAAGAAAATTCTCAGTCGAATATCTTCCTTTAATAAGTCATTGGAAGGTTCTAATATTTGTGTACAAGCCTTTGTGAAATTTTTAATGACCAAATATGATAGCCTTTGGTCAATCAGAAGTTGTTAATAATTTTACCAAATTTAACCCCAGTGACCTTAAATAGTTTTATGAGTCAAGCTATTTCTTCACACACTATGCCGGCACTATAAAGGGAACCACATACCAGAGCGGGTGGGGATAATGGAACCTGGTAGCACATACCGGAACGGGTGGGGACAGCGGAACCTGGTATCACATACCGGGGCAGGTGAGGACAGCGGAACCTGGTATCACATACTGGAGCGGGAGTGGTATATACAGGATAATAAGATACACAATATGCAGTTATATGTTTACAATAATCTAGACACTGGATAATCAGATACAGAATATGCAGTGTTATGTTTACAACAAGATATATTTACTGGATAATAATATACACAATATGAAGTGTTATATGTTTACAATAATATATTTACTGGATAATAAGATACACAATATGCAGTGTGTTATGTTAACAATGATCTAGACACTGGATAATAAGATACAGAATATGCAGTGTTATATATTTACAATAATGTATTTACTGGATAATAATATACACAATATGAAGTGTTATATATTTACAATAATATATTTACTGGATAATAATATACACAATATGCAGTGTTAAATATTTACAATAATATATTTACTGGATAATAATATACACAATATGAAGTGTTATATATTTACAATAATATATTTACTGGATAATAAGATACAGAATATACAGTGTGTTATGTTTACAATAATCTAGACACTGGATAATAAGATACACAATATGCAGTGTGTTATGTTAACAATAATCTAGACACTGGATAATAAGATACACAATATGCAGTGTTATGTTAACAATAATCTAGACACTGGATAATAGATACACAATATGCAGTGTGTTATGTTAACAATAATCTAGACACTGGATAATAAGATTCACAATATGCAGTGTGTTATGTTAACAATAATCTAGACACTGGATAATAAGATACACAATATGCAGTGTGTTATGTTAACAATAATCTAGACACTGGATAATAAGATACACAATATGCAGTGTGTTATGTTAACAATAATCTAGACACTGGATAATAAGATACACAATATGCAGTGTGTTATGTTAACAATAATCTAGACACTGGATAATAAGATAGACAATATGCAGTGTGTTATGTTAACAATAATCTAGACACTGGATAAAAAGATACACAATATGCAGTGTGTTATGTTAACAATAATCTAGACACTGGATAATAAGATAGACAATATGGAGTGTGTTATGTTAACAATAATCTAGACACTGGATAATAAGATACACAATAAGCAGTGTGTTATGTTAACAATAATCTAGACACTGGATAATAAGATACAGAATATGCAGTGTGTTATGTTAACAATAATCTAGACACTGGATAATAAGATAGACAATATGAAGTGTGTTATGTTAACAATAATCTAGACACTGGATAATAAGATACAGAATATGCAGTGTGTTATGTTAACAATAATATATATACTGGATAATAAGATAGACAATATGGAGTGTGTTATGTTAACAATAATCTAGACACTGGATAATAAGATACACAATATGCAGTGTGTTATGTTAACAATAATCTAGACACTGGATAATAAGATACACAATATGCAGTGTGTTATGTTAACAATAATCTAGACACTGGATAATAAGATACAGAATATGCAGTGTTATGTTTACAATAATATATATACAGGATAGTAAGATACACAATATTGAGTGTGTTATGTTTACAATAATCTAGACACTGGATAATAAGATACACAATATGGAGTGTGTTATGTTTACAATAATCTAGACACTGGATAATAAGATACACAATATGCAGTGTTATGTTTACAATAATCTAGACACTGGATACTCTGTTACATTGATCCTGATATCTGACATTGACACATAGACTGAATGTGCCTATTACCAAGATGCGGGTGTTTACATTTGTTAGAGTAAAATTGTAGTTGCCATTTAGTTGACTATCTGTGAAGCAAGTCTCGCTACCTCGTCGGATAGTATTTTGTGTGACAACACAGTTCCTTGTTGATGAATTTATGGCGTCGTCAACAAACAGCTTAGACAATACAGGTCACCTTGATTGTCTCGACAAACTGGCATTCCTTTTATCCGAGCAAAATAGCGCCACTGACCATTCCAAGAGGAGTTATAGGAGAATGAGACACTTACTAAGCAATATAGAACCTGCGTCATAAGTGTCTTCGTTGGCAAAGACTATGAGGGAAACGAGGAATGTGGAAGAAAAGAGCACTAATGGAAATTCTCATTTAGGCATATAACAGATATTACGGTTATACAAATCCTTACAAAGAGCACTTTAGTTATCATATGTTCAGTAGAGGTTGAAATTACAATCGCATGACATGTACGCTGCCATCTTTACACCCGATCCACACGTCTCCGATCTGGTCAACCAACACCGCCGTAGGCTGTTGTACTCCGTGTTTCTGGTCCAACAGACAAGTGGCATTTTCGCCATGACTGCTTACGACATAAACTTGGTGGTTAAGATAGTCTGGTACAAACACCCTGTCATAGATATCACAGGACACATTACAAAGATGCATCTTACCAACATTTCGACCACTGTCCAGTTCACCTGTCCATTTATTTAAAACTTTGCCAGCCTTGCCGGTGATAAGTATTGCCCCAGCATTTTCCCCGTCCATGGTGTCTGTTGCCAGTGCTATTGCTACGCTTCCTGTTGGCATACAGGTAATGTATTTTCCATTCGTTTCGCAACTGAACTTCCTTAAACCTTCCCCTGCATGATTCAGTATAATTACATCCGGCTTTAAGGTGCAAAGAAACACTTCGCCACTGTAGCTGACGCTAATACCCCAAGGATTATGATTACCGACATCGGCAAAGGTTGTCACTTGTTTGTTGCCAAGTGAAAGTTTGCTGACAACTGTCGACTTGTAACGAGTCATGAGTATTTCAGTTGAACTCAGCATGGCAATAAGACACGGGCAAAAATCTAGTTCAACTGACTCTGAAACCAGACCCTCCTTGTTCACCAGTACCAGACCTTTGTAGCTACGGATCGACAACCATGCATGCATTTCATCATAGGGACAGATGTTCCATATCCGGGCTCGCTGCGTAACTCTGAACATGGAAAGGTTTTGAACATGTTTCTTGTTGATGTCTACCTTCTGGTACCGGCTCCCATTGAGAACGCCACCCATCATTTTCGTCAACTGTGCAGTGTCAATACTGCCAGGAACGAAGGACGGTTGTTTGGAGAACCTACAAGGTGTGCTGACGTCATAAAGAGGCACTCTTGATTGGAGTATATCCACGACCTCAAATAACGATAAATCACCTGTATCTGTGGTCAATGCTTTATCCAGTAACTGTTTTAGTTCCTTGACATTTTTCTCCGATTGTTGACAAAATTTAACATGCTCATTCGATTCAATTTCTTTCATGGAGGATAACGTTCTCGTTATCGTGTCTGCGATACAATCTACCTGTTCCTTAACCTTAGTCTTCTGTACGGTCACCTTTTCTTGCATCGAATCAATATTATCATTAAAACTTTTGTTTTCTTGTTGCTGTTTGGATGTTTCGTTCTGGATCCGATCGATCTTCGTGGATACCATTGTAACGTGCTTGGCAAGTTCTTGCCTTTTGTTGGCCATTTCGTCTTCGCATCGTGTCAAAGAATGCAACTTATGGAACATTTCTGAACAAATACGACAAATCAGAGACTTGCATGTCAAACAGTACATCGTAATAAGTTCGTCTGGATGTGTTTTACACATGTTTGATACAGTTTGACTGCTTGTACGGATAGCCTGTCCTATCGGTACGACGTCATCGTTTTGAGTTTTCTTTCCGCGAGTATGGGCTTCCTTACATCGGTCACATAGCGTCTCCTGACATTCATTGCAAAACCACCTTACCCTATCTACACTATCACACAGCGTACACTTGTAAATTATAACCTCCTGAGCGAAAAGTATGGTTCTATTACCAGCCATATTGTTCGATACACTAGCTTTTCATATGACAATGTCCTTAAACTGTACTTCCACAACCAGGTGAAGCCTTACGTCTTTATGTGAATGCTAAAAATAGCTGCTCTTCTAGGTAAATGTCGATGACGACCTATTTATGAAAAACCATGCACATCCTACTTAACCGCATAGATAACTCATGTTGTACTTTCGGTTTACATACGCAGTGCAATCTATAAAATGTTGTTGAATCCGTCAATACCGGTGTTACACCTTTAGTATTTGTATCTCCTCTCAACACATTTTTCATTAACATCACGCAAGGTTAATTTGAGGAAGACCATCACTAAATTAATTATAGGCAACTGTGCAGGTGATTTAAGTAGGTAATTAGTTAATGACACCTGACCATGGTCGCGGAGTAGATGTATTACATAACAGGAGAGCAGGGATCACACCTACCATAGAGGAGAACTGCTGGGTACAGGTATATTTATTTATTCAAAGGTATGTCGCCTCAATTGAAAGTTTCGCTTGTAGGGAAGCATCTTCTATCTTCTTGTTGTGATGTACTGATGGGGACTTAGTTCCCCCTTACACCGACTATGAGTCCTGGTTGCCCGCACACGGTTATTACAATTGTAGGAATATTTGTACAAATTATAAAAATATTAAATCATATAATTTAGGAAAATGAAATTTAGGTCTTGATTAACATAACTAACTCGGAGTTGGTATTAAAGGACAAGTGGCGAAACAATCTTCAGACACCTTGTCACTATATATTCTAACACAAGTTATAAAAGGATTAAAAGGTAAAAACAGGGATGCTAATATGGTAATATAACAATGATTCATCTTCATGTTCATCTTGCTTCATAAGTACAAAACGTCAGCCTTCATTCAAACATTCTTATATACATTGTTACCTTAAAACTGGGCAGTAACATCTATGTTTCATTCTATCACACTGTACCCAAAGACACTGATGAACCAAAGTTTTCCATAAAGATCTGTTTTCTTCTCATTTCGTAATTACATCACCTTCATTATCTAAAATTGTTAAATTCAGTATGTGTTCCTTTTTTATATTCCGCCACGGTATGGCCAATTGTCTCCTAGCTTTTCAAATCATTTGTGAAGTACTATGACGCTTTCACAAACATCGCAGCGGCATTCTTCCAAGATTAATTCCACATAAATTCTCGAACGTTGCATGTATACAATACAAACAGCACCTGTTGAAATAGACAGTCTTTTGACCACCTTGCATGTTCCGTTTTTAAATAGTTCCATGTCTTAAGTAAACACCACACATGAAACACGTCACACAGCCTTCTATTATCGTTTTGAAAAAAAAACCCGCTAGCAGCCAGCTGTAATGAGTCTGGTGACGATTGTGTAGCCAAAGAACAAAGGTGTACATACGACCACAACCTTTGCCAAACGATGGGTGACGTGGACCTATCACATGTACAGAATAATTGAAATTACTCTCTGTCCATTGATACCTTCTACCAAACTCACAGATACAATCACAAAATCTACCTGCTATCTGTGAATTTGCTCTATCAATATTTTTATCACTAATGAAATATACTGTGGTCGTTTGTCATTGGCTACGTCATTCAGAGATCGACTGTGAATATGGACAATGACGTTACGTCATGGATCGGAAACAAAAAGGCTGGCTCTGTTTGCTTTTGTCTTTCTCGTTTTTGCTTTGAAAACTTTTAATGTATGTGAGTTATGTGTTAAACTATCTTTGTTTTTATTTCTTAAGCGATCTTATGAAAGTTTTCATTTAAATAAATATTTCTTAGACATGTTTCATAAAATTTCACATAAATGAAAAATAATTTAAAATTCTATAGAGATCACAAGGACCTGATACAGTGCATCCAAAAATCTTAAAAGAAATCAGAAATAATATAAGTTCACCTTTAGCAGATATTTTCAAAAAATCATTATCCGAGGGAAAACTACCCCAAGCTTGGAAAGAGGCTAACATAACACCAATTTACAAAATGGGATCTAAAGCCGACCCAGGAAATTATAGACCTGTTAGCCTGACAAGCGTTGTAGGTTAGCTACTAGAAAATAAAGTGAGAGATAGCATTGTTGAGCATATGGATAAAAATAATTTTCTAAGCCCAAAACAATTTGGTTTCGTGTTTGGAAGATCAACTCAGTTACAATTATTAACAGTGCTTGAAGAATGGACAGATGTTAAAGACAAGGGCGGAGAGCTGGATATCATATACATGGATTTTATGAAGGCCTTTAACAAAGTGCCACATCAGCGTCTATTAAAGAAACTATCCGGATATGGTGTTAGTCGTCAGATATTAAACTGGATACAGGATTTTCTAAGAAACCGATGCCAGCGAGTAATAGTCAACGGCGAATCCTCTAATAGGCACCCGGTAATAAGTGCTATTCCCCAGTGAAGTGTATTGGGCCCAATACTATTTGTTGTACATATCAACGATCTGCTGGAGATACCAATGTCCCAATCGCCACTCTTTGCTGGTGTTACCAAATTATATAGACAAATAAAAAATATTGAGGATGTGTAAATACTTCAAAAAGACCTAAATAATCTCCAAAAATGTTCCAACAAATGGCTGCTGAAATTTCATCCTGATAAATGTAATGCAACTCAGGAACGAAAATACTATATGGAAGGATCCGAAGGAGAAGGAATCCAACTTGAAAATGTTGAGAACGAAAAGGACATAGGCATCAACATAGATAAGGATTTAAACTTTAAAACTCACGTACTGCAAGTTGTAAAACAAGGCAAACAGTATGATAGGACTTATAAGATGATCTTTTGTGTATCTCGATGAAGACATGTTCACCTTGCTGTTCAAATATCTAGTAAGACCACATCTGGAGTATGCTGTGAGTGTTTGGAACCCATTAAAAGTAAGAGATATTAAACCTGTCGAAAATGTTCAGTGGAGGGCTTCCAAATTACTCCCTGGATTTAGAAATCTGACTTATTAGGAGAGGCTGGAAAGGTTAAAACTTCCAACGCTACAACACCGTAGGACAAGAGGAGATGTAATAAAAGTATTCAAGATAATAAATAATAATTGCAACTCAGTAATGTTATGGGATAATGCTGCTCAAAGACATAGCCGTCGAGTAAACTCAAAAACAATATATCCAAGCGCTCTTCAACCACATTAAGGAAAAACTTTTTTCCAATGAGATCAGCAACCATTTGGAATAAATTACCTGAACATTTTATTTCAGCAAGTAATATTAACAAATTTAAAAATGAATTAGACAAACACTGGAAGTACCAAGAACTGTTCTTTAATTGCAGAGCTGCTCTCGTATAAATTTCCAATTGTATACATGTACATTTTGCAAGAGGTCCGTAAAATAACTAATAATTCTTTATATATATTTCAATATTTTGTATAATGTATTTTTTGAGTCTGGTATAGAGAACTTTTATAGGAGTCCTGCACTGGAAATAAACTTATCTTATCTTATCTTATATATATGATTGTAGAGTAACAAGAAACTTCTTCCAAATGAACAAAAATAGTTTAACCAGAGGTCATGATAAGAAAATCTTCAAAAGACGACAGGAAGTATTTTTTCAGTCAGCGAGTAATTGACTTATGGAATAGTTTACCACACTTTTGTCAGTGCTAAATCTGTAATTAAATTTGAAATTATGTTCGATGAACATTGGGAAAATAACTGTTTCACATACGATCATTAACGTGTATGTACTTTGTAGCCGTTAAACTGGATGTGAAAATTGTTTTTATTACGCTTTGTAATGTACATGATATGGGCACAAAGGCTGTGAAGCCTGCGTCCATTATTTAGGCTATGAAATGCTATTAAACAGCGCTGGAACATTATGCTATCGTAACAATATCCGGAATTAATTTGCTGCTTCTGATTTTGTGGGGTGTTTTATATAATAACTTGTCGTGAAGACGCTTTTGTTGTACCTGCGTCGATCTTCTGCTGTACAAACGTGTACATGACTCCGTTTTTCACCGACTGATGAAGTCATGGCTGTTTTAACACACTGTAATTAGTCACGTCTATTGCTATTTTCTCTTCGAAGCGGCAATTTTATGTATGCGATAGTAAATGGGGAGTCTGCTGTCGAGTTTCAGATCAGGTAATTATTAAACTTGGCGGTGAGCGAACTAGACTTATTGACAAGCTTAAGCTTGGAACTGTGGACGGAAACTAAGGACGCCATACAGCCTAATTGGAGCACGGGCCTCAACGATATTGGTACCTGTGCTTGGATATGGTCTCCGACTATACCGTACATATCAGTAAAAAGACTGTTGAATGTTTGCTCTAATCTTACGATAGATTAGTATTTCACAATAACACGTCCATTCACACAAACTCGAAAGGTCCGGTAGTTTATTGTAATTTGTATGCAAGACACCTTCTACAACTGTCATATTTTCTCCACATGAAATCATATCACATTATTTAGGGAAGGGGGGATATTGTTCGTTGTGATTGTGTTGGTCACTGCTTTTTTTTTTTTTTTTTGTTTGTAAAATGCAAAAATAAAAGAAAATAAGAAATGCAGTAGATTCCCCTAATCTTACAATAAATATGGAAAAATTACATGTAGATACATCATGAACAATTCATAAAATGGAAATATGTAGATAATTTTACTGATACATGTATACAGCATGAATTTACATTTCATTCTCAATTTAAGATGTTTCATCATTTTGAAAAGTGCCATTCATATTAGAACCAAGAACACGCAAAGATTTGATTATTAAATAAATACATTCTTTATAATTAAATTGTAACATTTTATCTAACAGTTTGGAACATGACTTCAAATTCAGCCAGTTCTGAGGCAGAGATCCAAGTACATCAACTGAGCCAGCACCCAAACAAGGCTTGGAAATCCATGCAGCAGGACCAGAAAGTTATTAAAAAGCATCTTGTTGATGACCCAGAGTCTCCTGTACCTGATGGCCACCTTCGATTTGTGTGTATTTCTGACACACACAGTCGAATAGAATATGGTGGATTCCAGGTACCAGCTGGTGATGTTCTTATACATGCAGGGGACTTCACAATGATTGGACTGCCCAAAGACATTGACAAATTCAATAAATTTCTTGGTAAGATTGCTGAAAAAGAACCCAAAAAAATGTTGCACTTTACCTAAGCTTTATTTGATCATTTAATTGTCATTGTATTGTTTGACAGTTACCAAAATATGATATAGGAACTTGAAGTGATTTGAGAGAAGAAGATTTTTAGGTTTTTATCAATGCCATTTCAGTATATAATTATTTCACTCAGCTAAAACTCAACACTGTCAAATGATTTGTAGAAAAATAAATGGAAATGATAGCTGTCAATAATGTTTCATAATTGTCTCAAAAGACTACTTACAAAATTATTCGATATGATAACCCATAAATATTTTTCTACTAAATAATTTCTTGTCTAAAAAAAATACCTTAAGACATCTTATAGTTTAAAAATGAGATGCCTATTCCTCTCCTAAAAAATTAAATGAAAATGATGAATTAGTTGAAATACAAATAATCAATAGTAACACCGAGGAAACATGGTATGTCCTCCTATATCCTATGTCTAATGTGTAGAAATGAATACAAATGTGGAAATATTAAGTTGCAATGTCACAAAGGAAATCATTGTTACCTGTTACATGATATAACATACCAAGTACAAAACCTGCTAAGTTTTAGAGAACCTGTTAAAAACTGATAGAAGAGATATCTAGACAGAATCTGAATGCTCAAAAGAACCGGAAATGACTCCTACAAACTGTTAATAAATCAAACTGCTGTTTAAGAAAATAAGTCTTAATTCAAAGGTGATAAAGCCTGCCAAGTTTTAAAGTGATCAGTTGAAAAGTGGGAGATCTCGGGACAAGATTTAGACTATGATAAAACAGAGGGAAGTAACCCTCCTAAATACAATCAAATTAAACTGCTTTTCAGGAAAACACAACTTCATGTCATTGTGATTAAGCCTACTAAGTTTGAAAGTGATCAGTTGAAAAATATAGAAGGAGATTTCTGGATAAGATTACTATAGATTTTGAATAAAACAAAGGTCAGTAACTCATCCAAATACAGTTGAATCAAACTGCTGTTCAGAAAAACACAATGTTATGTCACTGTGACAAAGCCTTCCAAGTTTGAAAGAAATTTGGTTGAAATTATTGGGAGGAGATCTCTAGAAAAAGAAAAGGTTCAAAGGCATGACAGATGCCATACCATGATATATTGTGTCAGATTTTTTAACTGGCATTTTATTATGGAAAGGAAATAAGGAATACCGATACTTAAATTACCTAGAGAAATGTCAATAACTGCATAAAAATTTGAGACATGGGAGCAAAAAGATTAAATTTTTTTTGTAGTTCCATCTACAAATGTTAACATTAAAAGTTTCAAAATCTTTTACAGCAGGAAAAATAATTATTGAAAAAATATTCATTTATTGTAGGGACATTACCTCACAAAGTCAAGATCGTAATAGCAGGAAACCATGACTTAACATTTGATAAAGATATGGTTGAAAAAAGCCGTGAACAATTGACCACAATGTTTGGTGTGACAGAAGAAAACTTTGAGGCTTATATGACCAAAAACAAATTGAGTGAAGTAAAAGAACTTTTGACAGAATGTGTTTACCTCGAGGATGAGTCAGTCAACATTCATGGAATCAAAATCTACGGATCTCCATGGTAATGCTTCATTTATGCTGATGTTAGACATCCAGATTGTAATTTGATATTTACTGTGGAAATACATTTATTTATAAAATGCATTTTTATATGAAAATATGTCAATTTAATCATTTTCAAAGGCTTGCTTTGTTTTGCTTAAAAGAAAATCATAAATCATAATAGACTACATGGAAAACTAAATGTTGAATCTGTGGAAATTCAGACCTATTTATTTTCTTACTTTTTTCTAAGTTTTGATAATTTTTAAAATAGTAAGTATATGTTTTCCTGCCATGCAAATTATCAATGACTACAGGTCTAATGTCATATTTTCATAGGCAGCCAGTATTTGGTGGATGGGGTTTCAATTTACCACGAGGACAATTACTGCTGGACAAGTGGAATATGATACCAGATGATACAGATATCTTAATCACCCATGGCCCTCCCGTTGGTAAGGCCAAACAAGCCCATGTCTGGTAATAAGCATGCCTTTAATTGTATCTATCTCCATTCAATTAATTCTTCAAAAATAAGTCTGTCTCCTGAGTGCGTTTAAGGGTGTAGAATCATAATGTCTAATTTCTTTTGTAAAAGTAGGAATTTAAATATTATTTCTAACTTAAAATCCCACACACCATTTATTAACTGAAAATCAAAATTCTATCTTTTGTGTTTACAGGTCATGGTGATTATAGTTTTGATGGCCACAGGGCTGGGTGTGTCGAGCTTCTTTCTACCATACAGCATCGAGTCCGACCCAAATACCATATTTTTGGACATATTCATGAAGGTATGACTTTGCATGCTAGCAGCTCAAGTTGTGATTTTTATCAAGCTAGTCTGTGTCCATTCCACTCCATCTACACAGTTTCGTGAGCATATCTTGGCAAATATATTTTACACAGGAATGTCGATCACATATGTAATGTCCACTTGTCATAAACAGACAGTGTGTCACATACCATAATGGGGTCCCATTTCCCCTACTTGATCGTTAAATTTAACCAGCCCTTTAGTACTAAAATTTAGAATGATGTTTTCAGATTAAAACTCCCTAATCAATACTTTGGCTTGCTGGGTTTGATATTGCCCCATGGACAACATTGTCATTTAAGGCAGGCTCTCCTTGAAGTAACATGTGGTATACATCATGCAGGAGGTCTGCCACATGCTATCCAGAGTTGTGAGGATAGCAGGAGGCGTGTCACACGCTATCCAGAGTTGTGAGGATAGCAGGAGGCCTGTCACATGCTATCCAGAGTTGTGAGGATAAAGTTTCTTTCTACTGAACAACAAACTATAATGTTGACAACACTGTGAAACCAAAGTCTCACTTTAGCATTGTTTCATTGCAGATGAGTCGAAACTTTTAATTGTATAGCACTAGGGACATTTTCTGTTTCCAAAGTAAACAATATTGATATAATTGATGTCAGTCAAAAATCAGATTATAATATGATAAATAAAACAGTTCAGAATTAACATAACATAAAAGGCATTGCTAATTATAGATGAATTTTTGTACTTGAAGGCTATGGTGTCACCACTGATGGATTTACCAACTACATCAATGCTTCTACATGTACATTAAAATACAAACCCATCAATGCTGCTATAATATTTGACTTCCCTATTCCTGAAGGACATACAAAGGAGGAGGCCGTTGATCTGTGTGTACAGACTGCCATGCCCACCAAGAGTTCGTCAGAATCACATATTAAACAATCAAGTGATGACATTGATGTTGAATTTACCGATGATGTCTGATAAGGCTACAGCAGAGATTTGGTCACATAGAACTTCATATTTTATATATATATGTTCTTAGAATTTTTGAAAATATACATTATCATATAGTTGACGAAATTATTTTTATGTATTTCACTATGTTTTTATTGCCCAGTTTAATGGACTTTTATGAAAAATAATTCCTGTTTTAGCTGTATATGTGTATAACTTCCTTATTAACATGCTCAAATTATTAATACATATTTCGTGAAATTACTTCAAGACAGTTTTGAAGGAATTCATTCTTGTTGTCTTATTGCAATAATATTACAGACTGAAAAGTTTTTACTGTTCAGTCAGATCATTTTTTTCCTTTATGGTTTGCTTAATGCCAGTCTTTCGAAATATTGACAATTGTTTTGTGTTATTTCTCTTCCCTACAAGTAAAATTGCCAAGATTATAAAATCACTTTCAAAGCATGGTCAATATGACCAAATCATTTTTGATAATTTTCCTAAGACTACACAAGCAGTATATGTACATAAACCACAACATTATTGTTTGTTGGAAACTTGTCACATATTCTTGAAACAAGTGTTTTCATTTCATTTTGAACACTTGGTAAGATTTAAGGTTTAGTTAAAACATCTATAATCTTGCATTATTTAGTGCTGATATCACCAAGTGTCATTTTATAACAAAATGTACTTAAAACTGCGATCTAGGGATTACCTCAGATAATTTATATAATTTATTCTGTATTCATAAATAATAAAATATTAACAAGCTGTTTCAGTGTTGTTAATCTTCTTTATTTAAATGATTGATTGCAATGGTCAAAGCTGGCTTAAAGTAAGAATTATCTACATTTTTAATTGATTTTTGAAAAGTTTTCTAAAAAAAATTAATATTTGAAAACATTTGAAATTATGATCTTTAAATGAAAGATTCATGTCATCCAACATAAGTTGGTCAATAGTATTTTATTTCCTCACAAATGCTCCTAGCCATAATTAGGAAATTTAGAAACTGCACATCAAAAGATCAAGGTCAAAATATCACCTGGTGTTCCTCATGTATCTTTAATTACAAAAAGAACAAAACAAAATGATACCTTTATAAAATGTGGTTTTATTTAACAAATCAACAACTGTAAACATATGTAAAAGTAAATTTGCATTGCATAGTAGTATAAAATATCATATTTGTATAATATCACAAACAAAATAGGCAGCGATTTTAATATGCATTTAAAGCCAAATAACATCCACATGATGGACAAATTCATTGTCCCTATCACTTGTTGTAAAATATTGACAGTTGTTGAGGAATAACTCAGTTGCACATGGTTAATATAACCACGAAAGCAATGCATAACCAGGCAAAAAAATGTGTAAAAACGTGCAAAAATGCACAAAAAGTTCTTGAATGGCACATCAGCTTCTATGGAATCTCATCACTCTCTGGCAGCAAAATCCTTTGTATATATCTATGAAAATAAATTACAAAATATCATTGATCATGAACAGACTACACTGTAACCAAAACACTTTCAAAACCAACTCATAATATAAAGCTGACTTTTCCATCAAAGCAAAGGAATGTAAATACAATTCTGATCCAAATACCTTGACAGCTAAAACCCTAATAACCTTATTACATCAAACAGTCAATGCTAAGCAGGCAAATTAAAATCTGAACTTCAGACAGAGAATTGAGAACAGACATCAAGTCCAAGATAAAACGATTATTTTCAAACCTTCAACATTTTAATTCCAAACACATGGCGATAAACTAACAATGACTGCATGTGATGCTAATAAAGTGAAATTCAAACAAATATGAAAGACAATACCATGAGTGTACTAGTTGCAGTCTGGTATAATACAATCCAGGATCACTCATATACCTAATGTACCTGAAGTACATATACATATGTTACCTGTGGCTCATCTATTAAGTGAAAAACACATAGCAATCAATATCATATGTCCATCATCTCACATAGCATCACCATACATAACATACACCTGACTAGTTAGACACAAACAATATTCACCTGCCTGGTAAAACACCATCATTTGACACTCATCTGGTAAGGTAAAAAATTATTCATTTGTTAAGACAAATAATACTCACCTGTCTAATAAGGCACAAACAGTAACCACTTGCCTGGTAAAACACCAACAATAAAAACTTGTCTGGTTAGACACAAACAATATTTACCTGTCTGATAAGACAAACAATATTTACCTGTCTGGCAAGTCACAAACAATATTCACACATCTGGTAAGATACAAATAATATTCACCAATCACCTAAGAAACAGTCCATTTGCTAAGACACAAACAATATCCATCTGTCTAGTAAGACACTAACAATATTCACCTGTCTAATAAGACAAACAATATTCGCTTGTCAGGTAAGATACAAACAGTACATGCTCAATCGTGAAGCATAAGAGAAATAAAAAGGCTATAGAACATATTTCCATCACCTGCACCTATTTCTTGACTTAAGTGAAAAAATTGGGCCAGCAACCACTTCACGATAATGGATAACAGTACCTACACAAGAGATATCGGGATAAACAATATGGTAGGTGACAGATTTAAAGTAACACGAGGGGCCTGTTTGTTAATATAGACAAATCAGTCTGCAATAAGAATGTAACATCTCAGGCATAAATTGGATTGAACCTGCAAATAAATATATATCTAGAAAGACTTTGTCGAGACACGTCAGAATGCAAAACACCAGCAGGACGTCCATCGTAACTTCATCATCCTATAAAATTCTTAAGTGGAGGGCTAACCAGAAACTATAAAAATTGCACACTTTTGCATAATAAAATATCCTTCACCAATCAAACAAACATTCCCTGAACTTTTCAATATATGTAACTAAATATTCCTAGAAAATTGCAGAATGCATTTGTATTGGCCAGCACCAAGTCACATGTGGCCGAATTCCTCATCCTAAATAATAAAGAAGCAAACGTGTCTGATACAAATATTTGTCGAGCAATATTTTGAAAGTATCATGATTTACAGTTAAAATGCCCTATTTTAACATATTACATTATGTAGTCACACACTACATCAATCTTCTTCACTAAGAGCAAATATCTTGGAACTGTTTAAATCCAACAATTGTTTGTATAAATATCTCAAAACAACCAATGAAACAGAAAATTGCATTCTCAAACTGGGTCAAATGTTTCATGTGATTCAAGATCTACTTATCAGGTCACACATGACATAAGCTAATTTATCTTATACATGCAGCTGCTTCAGTCTTGACTCTATATATTCCAATTTAAAAACTGAAATCCTTTGAATGGGTTAAATTAATGAATTGGTTGTCATGAGGCATGAATCATCACAATTGTTGGTATAGACAGTTTATGTATAAGTAACCAATCAAATACCTTGGTATATGTGTAGTTTAAGATGGCCATGACTTATTTTGATTCATCATCCAATACAGATGTACCAAAACATGTTTATCTTAATTCTCCAGCTTTCTGATTCAAAAGATTCATATACATAGATATTTGTTTGGACTTCATCTGAGTAAAGTTTTAACAAATGTACAAAATCAAACCAACATGTTTGTGTATCCAATCAATTTAACACTTAACATCACATACAAGTTTATCAGATATAGAGTTTCTTAAAAACCAGAATGTCAAGTCTGTTCTTTCAGAAATCATGTAATATGTGCTATTCCCCCTGGCTAAAAGACTAGGAATCTAGAAAGGATCCCCCCATCTGTCCCTTAGGTATTGCAACATCCTCTAGATTTTTTCCATCGAATGATAACACTAGCTCAGAGGCCCTTCCCAACGATGAATGTCTCCTGATTTTTTTTCCCATCCCACGATAATCACAAACCCTGAACAATCACAAACCCTGAACACCTCCCAACAATGAGTGCAAATTGAGTTACGCTATCCCCTGATGATACTATCATATAGCCCCATCCAATGCTATTCAATCCAACAATTCCTCCCTTTAAACTAAACACACACCCCTCTGTCAAAACAATCTGAATCCATTTACCCTATACTAAGTGACACTTTCTGCTGATATAAATCATATTAGACATGTCACTTTGCTTGATAGCAACCTCTTGCCTCCCAAGTATCCTTTTGCCTCCCACATACCATACATTAGTTTTCTTGAATATTTTTCATCCTTACAAAATCTGCCCCCTTCCTCCCCCACTACAAAAAATACCTAACCATGATGAAATTTGCCTCACATCTGCCTACTATTTAATGCATCAATTCACCAGCATGAAAATAAAAAATTGTTATCAGTAGTGAAAAGGGTACCTTAAGCATTAGCCAGGAGAGAACAATCACTATTATCACTTTTAGTTTATGTAAACTGTTGATGACTAAGAACAGACTTACAATCTGAAATAAATCTTGACACCACATCAGAACAGGGTATTTTATACTGAAACAGTATGTACTGTAGCTTTTTGTTGTATGATATCACATAACATAACTCATGGTACCACACAGTAAATGATCATCAACTTGAAAATTGTATCTATGCAGATCAACAACGTATATATCATACAGACCAGAGTTAACTGCTGGTATCATATATCTTTTTTGTATCAATACACAATACTGACATCAGCAGACACAGCATTACCACAATTTTACAGTATCCAGAGATACACACTATGTCAGTTTATCATATACTGGATACATTCAACATTCCTTGAGACCAAACTACACACTCTCCAATGTGGTGTGATACAGACAGGCTCCAATGAAGCCTTCATCAGACATCCAGGGGCACCATGTGACAAGCCCTCTCTCTGGACTTGCTATGCTGGTAAATGGGTACCAACACAGATTCTCGGTGTTCCCTCAAATGGACCTCGTCACGGGATCTTTGTCTTGTATGATTTATATTCACTGTCTCTCTCCTTGACTTGCCATGCTGGTTTTTTCCTGGTTTCTTTGTCTTTTCCTTGATCATCAGTGTTTGTTAGAGTCTCTCAGAATGGTTGAACGTATACAATATACAGCAACATAACATAGTGTTCAGAGGTAAAGGTCATGAACAGCAGTGTCTCTTAACTTAATACTGTTATAGTTCTACTGCACATGTAAAACACAATAACATAAACATGCTAGTCGGTTCACATTGTACAATCTTTAGTAGTTGTAATACCATCAAAATACCTATGGGCAATACTCACCTCCTTAATCCCTGCCAACTTACTGCAGCCAAATTTACAGCGACATTTCCTCAAAATCTACTTACCCAAAACTCTCC